AACGCCATGGTCAAGAAAGAGGCCACATCAAAGCGGCCCACCAAAGCCCACAAGGGGCTGAATTATGTAGACATCACCCTCTGCGGGAGGCCGATCCAAGCCTTGGTGGACACTGGGGCCACCCACAACTTCATTTTGCTTGCAGAGGCAAAGCGACTTGGCTTGACCACCACCAAACAAATTGGGTGGGTCAAGGTTGTCAACTCCGGGGCCAAAGCAGTAGAGGGCATGGCCCGTGGAGTAGAACTCCGAGTTGGAACATGGAAATGACCCATCAATCTATCTATGGTTCCCTTGGATGATTTTCAGGTTGTTCTTGGAGTGGAGTTCCTCACGCAGGCGGAAGCAGCACTTATGCCACACATCARCAGCTTGCTTATTCTGGACGAACACTCCCCTTGCATGGTTCCTGTCTCATCAACCTTGCAGATACTTGGGAAGCAGCTTTCAACCTTGCAGTTGTACCAAGAAACCAGCAACCATGAAGACAGCGCCGCGTCAACAAGGAAGAACCCCTGTCAAGTATCTCACATCGACATTGGAACTGGTTGGGAAGTCGTCACCAGGAAGAAGTCTCCCCCAAAACAGTTCCATTTCCAGTGCCAACGCCAATGCCAGCGCCCAAGTCAGCACCAACATCAGCACAGCATCAGCTTCAACACCAACCACTTCAGCGGAAGTCAACACCCATGTTGACACCATGAAGACACGCGGTTGACACTCTGATGGCACACGCTAGGTGCTTGATGGCGCGGCGAAGGAGTCACTTGTGACATTCTCCCCCACTCAATTCGATCTACGTCCTCGAAGATCGGCTTCGACTGGTCCCTTAGAGTCACTGTTGCGGAAGGAAGGTTCTTCTGCTGCTCTCCGAACCGGCTGTCGTCCTAGGCCGAGGTGTATATTTTGGTGGCATGATTGGGTTGGCTCATTCTGTTGGAGTGTCAACATGGGTGTCATGGGTGGGCTATGCATGTATTTTGTAAGGGGGGGACCGCCAATGGCGTTATTGTAATTACATAGTATGATTTTTCATCCTTTTGATGTTTCCTATTTTCACTCCCCCAAAAGCTTAACATATTCTTTGAGGGGAGGTAGGTAGTCGAGTGAGTCATGAGCATGTAGAGGTTAAGCATGAGATCCCCTCGACACTGAACTGTGTGCTTATGCTTGCCATCCATTAATGCAATACAATTTGCCTTTTATCTAATTCGTATGCCATCTTTGTTGCCTTTTCTTGTGTTGTTGCTTGTCGCTTAGGCTTACTTGTCGCATTCGAGTGCCGCACGGGGTCCCAATGACTAGCCTCGTGACACTTGGCCAATGGTTCCATCAAGCCTACTTGTAACTCCAATCGGGCTACGATTTGACCCATGCCACCTGAGGAGATTACCCTACGACATCGTCACGGTCCTACGACCTATCTCTAACCCTAACCCAGTGTGCCACATGTCGCTAAATCCCATAAGTTGCCCCTAAATGACACTTGGACCGGACAGGGGATTTGTTGGCCACCAAATTAGGATAAGGGAGTCCACAAAGTCCCTAGGGATACAGTCGACTCGCACCAGGACGCCTACTTACCAATGACCTTGGCCGATGGAGCTAAATGGAGGTTTACCCCGTTGAGCCTACATGAAACTTCGATATGGTCGCGATTAGAACCGTGCCATTGGGGGACAATACCCTACGACATGGTGGCAGTTCCGCTGCCCATCCCCAACCCTAACCCCTAGTGTGCTACATGTGCCCAAATCCCCTAAGTTCCCCCTGAGTGGCATGTGGACCGGACGTAGGGTGTGTTGGCCACCAAAACGAGACAAGGAAGTCCACAAAAGTCTTTAGGGACACAGTCGGCCTGCCCGGGCTACTTAATTTCCAACAGCTTGGGTTGATGGAGTGAAATGAAAATCGCAGCCCGAACCACAATGGCTTTGGTTGCCCAGGCCACAAAAGTCCCCTAAACCTGTATTTCGCTATGTCGAGCCTACACATAACTCCAATCGGGCCACAATTTCCCCTGTAACTCTAGGGGACAATACCCTATGACACCCTAGCGGTACTGCCGCCCATCCCCAATCTTAACCCAGTGCAACACACGTGGCCAAATCCGTAAGTTGCCCCTTCGTGGTATGTGGGTTGGACGAGAGGTGTTTGGCCACCAAACCAGGATGGGGGATTCCACAAAGTCACTAAGGACACAGCCAATACGCCCGAGACGCCTAATTACCAATGACCTTAGCTGACGGAAGTAAACCTCTCGCTACATTGAGCCTACCCATAACTCTGATCGGGCTGCGATTTGACTCGTGTGACCGGAGGACATTACCCTATGATGCTATCCCCAGTGCGCCAGATGTTGCCAAATCCCCTAAGATGCCCCTAAGTGGCACGTGGACCGAGGGGTGTATTGGCCTCCAAACTGTGATGGAAGAGTCCACAAAGTCCCTAGTGATACATTTGGCCCACCCGAGATGCCTAATTACCAACAACCTTGGCCGACGAAGTGAAATAGTGATTTAGGGTAAACATTCGTTTTGCTCTATCGAGCCTACATGTAACTTTGATCGGGTTGCGATTAGAACCGTGCCACCTTGGGACAATAGTCTACAACACCATCTCGGGGCACATCCCCAACCTTAACCCCCATTGCACCACATGTGCCCAAATCCCCTCAATTGCCCCCAAGTGGCACATTGATGGGACGAGGGGTGTGTTCGTTGACAAAACGGAATGAAGGAGTCACAAAGTTTGTAGGGACACAGCCAGCCCGCTCGAGTCGCCTAATTGTGAACGGCCTTGACCAACGGAGCGAAATTTATGCCTACACTTAACTCCGATCAAGCCACGATTTCCCCCATTTCATCGGGTGATAATACCCTACCACACCCTGGCTGTTGCATGACCCATCCCCAACCATAACCCCCATTGCACCACACGTGACCAAATCCCCTGAGTTGCCCATTTGTGGCACGTGTACTAGATAGGGGGTGTGTTGGGCACCAAATCAGGATGAGGGAGTCCACAATGTCCCTAGGGACACAGGCAGCCCGCCCAGGATGCCTAATTACCAACAACCTTGGCCGATGGAGGGAAGGTAAACCTTCGTTTCACTCCGTCAAGCCTACACGTAACTCCGATCGGGCCACGATTTACCCTATGTCACTGGGGGCATTACCCTATGATGTCATCGTGGTCCTGCGGCCCATCCCCATCCCTAATCCCCAGTGCACCACATGTGTCCAAATCCCCTAAGTGGCATGTGGACCGAACAGGGTGTGTTGGCTGCCAAACCAGGACGAGGGAATCCACAAAATCCCCAAGGACACAGCGAACCCGCCCGGGATGCCTAATTACCAACTTGGGGGCTAAATATTTATACTGGAGATTAGTCAATGTAACCTCAAGTATAATGACATGTATGGGTCGTGGTCCTCCCGCAACTTGACGTCTTCAAGTACAAGAACAACATCCCAAAGTCAATTATAAGTTAAACAAAGCATACCCATTGCTCATGGATGATCTGCTCAGGGGATACTGCTCCGCAATATCCGGTTAGTACTTACTAAGTAAACACAGGAGTAAACCATGCAAATGCAAAACAAGTTCTTGTTTGCTTATTGGATCAAAGTCATTGGAGAAACATACAGTTGCAAAATATTGGAAACATTTTCTCCTTAAGACGTACCCGAGCTGCTTTGGGATTGAGTCAACAAATTCATATGCCCACCCGAATACACCAGGAATGATTGGCGCCATCTTATCCCTTAGTTTCGTTTGCTGCCTTAGGATGAAGATGAACAAAAGGACATGGATGCACAAGTAAAGCGGCCGATAAACACTTGAGCAAGCAATTTACTAGTGAACTAGTCATGAGGTAGACACAACGGGTCTAGCATGCACGCGGTGGCAAGTGGTATTGATTGAGTTGTACGATTGGAGTTCCCGTTGCTTTCATATCAACCACAAGTAATTTCCATTGCAAAGTAACGATCCGTTATTGGTATGAAGACCTTATCGACTACCAATATCGAATCGGACTGGAGCCATTTGTATAGCTCTTCATCGCGATCACCAGAGAATATAGCTACAGTAATCAATGGTGCAATGACAATCAATGAGAACTTTAACTACCAATGAGTCTGTAAGACTTACCGGGGCCACGGACGACACATTGTTACGGTTCAGCACAGGCTTAGCCTTGCTTACGCTTGGCAGGCTTACGTTAGGGATATGCCCGTCATTTTCGCCTGTAAGATTTTTGGGAGAACTGATATCTTTAGGCAGACCACCAAAAGCTTAACGTACTCTTTGAGGAGGGGTGGTCAACCTCCTTGGGTGCCTAACCTTGGCACTCCTAGACCTTCATCCCCTTGCGGGGCGGCCCTGGTTAACGGCTAGCA